CAGCATCAAAGTATTAAAAAATAACAATAGGTTTTTAACCTTGCTGGCAATAATAAATCAGGAGTCGTGTTAAGATGTTCAAACACCAAATAGAAACCTTTCGCAAGGAATCAAGTTCGCATTGAGCACACACACGGTACTTGTGGCGAACGTGCAAACAAACACGGTCTGGTCATTTGTATGCATTGACTTTGAAGCTGATTGACCTATGCCAGAGACAGGAGCCTTCTTTCGGGCCAAGTCTCAGCAGCGTCAGACCAGAGAACGGAAAAAGGCGACCAATAAAAGACAATGCCACCATCACATAGCACCAAGACAATGTCACTATCACACAGTACCAAGACAATGTCACTATCACACAGTACCAAGACAATGCCACTATCACACAGTACCAAGACAATACCGCTATCACACAGTACCAAGACAATGCCACCATCACACAGTACCAAGACAATGTCACTATCACACAGTACAAAGACAATGTCACTATCACACAGTACCAAGAGAATGCCACTATCACACAGTACCAAGACAATGCCACCATCATACAGTACCAAAACAATGCCGCCATCACACAGTACCAAGACAATGCCACCATCACACAGCACCAAGACAATGCCACTATCACACATTACCAAGACAATGCCACCATCACACAGTACCAAGACAATGCCACCATCACACAGTACCAAGACAATGCCACCATCACACAGTACCAAGACAATGTCACTATCACACATTACCAAGACAATGCCATCATCACACAGTACCAAGACAATGCCACCATCACACAGTACCAAGACAATGCCACTATCACACATTACCAAGACAATGCCACCATCACACAGTACCAAGACAATGCCACCATCACACAGTACCAAGACAATGCCACCATCACACAGTACCAAGACAATGCCGCTATCACACAGTAACAAGACAATGCCACTATCACACAGTACCAAGACAATGTCATTATCACACAGTACTAAGACAATGCCGCTATCACACAGTACCAAGACAATGCCACTATCACACAGTACCAAGACAATGCCACCATCACACAGTACCAAGACAATGCCACCATCACACAGTACCAATACAATGCCACCATCACACAGTACCAAGACAATGCCACTATCACACAGTACCAAGACAATGCCATCATCACACAGTACCAAGACAATGCCACCATCACACAGTACCAAGACAATGCCACTATCACACAGTACCAAGACAATGCCACTATCACACAGTACCAAGACAATGCCACCATCACACAGTACCAAGACAATGCCACCATCACACAGTACCAATACAATGCCACCATCACACAGTACCAAGACAATGCCACTATCACACAGTACCAAGACAATGCCATCATCACACAGTACCAAGACAATGCCACCATCACACAATACCAAGACAATGTCACTATCACACAGTACCAAGACAATGCCATCATCACACAGTACCAAGACAATGCCACCATCACAGTACCAAGACAATGCCATCATCACACAGTACCAAGACAATGCCACCATCACAGTACCAAGACAATGCCACCATCACACAGTACCAAGACAATGCCACCATCACACAGTACCAAGACAATGCCACCATCACACAGTACCAAGACAATGCCACCATCACACAGTACCAAGACAATGTCACTATCACACAGTACCAAGACAATGCCATCATCACACAGTACCAAGACAATGCCACCATCACAGTACCAAGACAATGCCATCATCGCACAGTACCAAGACAATGCCACCATCACAGCACCAAGACAATGTCACTATCACACAGTACCAAGACAATGCCACCACCATCACACAGTACCAAGACAATGCCACCATCACACAGTACCAAGACAATGCCACCATCACACAGTACCAAGACAATGCCACGATATAGCTCGGGGTGAGCGGCTACAAAATGGGACCTTTCAATCCTGGCAAAGTACGTGTGGTTAATGCGAACTTGATTCCTTGCAAAATGTTTCCATTTGCTGTTTGAACATCTTAAAACCTCCTGTTTTATTGCCAGTAAGGGTACAACCTGGTCTTGGGGGTTTTTTTCAGCAACACACAATGCAACGTAAAAGCCCCGATAGGCGTGCAGAATACAGACAAGGTAAGGAAGTCATTAAAAAACGATAGACACAAAAAAATAAACTCGCCTTTTGCCCGTCCTCGGACGGAAGCTGTAATATAGAGACAGTCCATAGAGACAGTTTATAGAGAGACAGTCTATATAGAGACAGTCTATATAGAGACAGTCCATAGAGACAGTCCATCGATACAGTCTATAGAGAGACAGTCTATATAGAGACAGTCTATATAGAGACAGTATATAGAGACAGTCTATATAGAGACAGTCTATATAGAGACAGTCTATATAGAGACAGTCTATAAAGACAGTCTATATAGAGACAGTCCATATAGAGACAGTCTATATAGAGACAGTCTATATAGAGACAGTCTATATAGAGACAGTCTATATAGATAAGTATATGGCGCATAACGTAAGGTCGCTGTACCGTCATCTGACAGTGATGGCGACTGTGGAATTCCTGCAACCCACGCATCCCCAAAATCGAACGCGGACGTTGAAAGACCACAAGCTATTGCGAAACCATGCACAATTACGTGTGTAACATCGGCTATTTTATTACCTACTAGCGAGAAAATGCATTTCTGGTCATCTGTAATGATACTTAATGTGCGTTGCTTCATGCCGCACCACGCATAGCCAATTCTCCATCAGATACAGATGTTTTGTACTCTGGAATTTCTGTATTCACATTGCCAAAATATCATCATCATCATCATCCCTCAATTACTTGAAGCATGGATTAGGGGTCAGCCTGAAGGGTAGCCAAACTACCCAGTAGGTCTCCTCCATGTCGCCTAGCTCACATAAAGACAAAGATGCCCCGTATAGCCTTAACAGACGGAAGGGGCAAGTGCTGTTAGCAAGCACCTATGAAAACCGGAACGGTACACGAGGGGGGTGGGTGGCCAGCACCACGCCCGACCGCCTTTGTCTCCCCAGTGGCGATGTTTTACACACCGCACCAGGTACTCATTTGAGGCTGAACTAGTAACCAATTTCTCTGTTTGGTTCCCGTTGACAATACCGTTACGAATTGGCTGTGTCGGGTGGTGGTGGCGATTTTAGCGACACATTTAAATTTACGCGATCTAACAAAAAAAACCTTTCTTGTGGAGTGGCACCATTGTTGAGTTTTAATTGAATCGCGCGTCAGGTTTATGCGATGGCGATTTTTAATGTTTTTTTATATTTTACGGCCGTTTAATGTTGTTACTTGTTATGCGGTTAAACGGCAATTTTGTCTTTTTACAACATGCAATGTGTGCTAAGATGTTGATGATGATGATATCGCGCTATGTAAATGCGTAGGTGCGTGTTTGTAATTATACATTTGTTTGTATTTGTATCACGCAGGCACGTTTATTACGGAAATGCGAAAACATCGACAAAGACACACACACACACGTGCACATACATGACAAATACACCAACACACACACTACATGGACACAAAGATCCCCTGTATAGCCTCAACAGACTGTTGTTCACGAGCACACATTAACGCACCTCCGATTAGCACGGTTGGCTACGTACGGTGCGACAGAAGTTCATACAATACCGGTACACAGCACGATGTGAGGTGGTGGCGGGTGTGGTTGTAGTCATAATTAAGCCCTGCCGCCTTTGTCTCCCCAGTGCTGGTGATTGCGCACAGCAACGGGTTTCTAATTTAGGGCTGGGTTGACCTAGCCGACGGCCAAGACCGGTCCGGATATCGCTCGTCATTGATCCTGGCCGTGGTGGCCAGGATCAATGTCGCCGTATTGATGGTTGAGCAGCGCGCTAACCACTGCGCCACCGCTCCCACGTACTCACGCAGGCACGCGAAACATCGACAAAGGCACACACGCACACACCTACACATAGCGACACATCACCCCCACCCAATTCATCCCCCCCCCCCCCACTGCCTCCTATAACATTTTAGGGGCACACGAGGGGGTGGGTGGCCAGCACCACCCCCGGCCGCCTTTGTCTCCCCGGCGCTGCTATTTTTTACACACCGCACCAAGTACTCATTTAAGGCTGAGTTGACCTAGGGAATCCAATCTCCGTTTGCTGCGTTCGTAGCACAGTGCGCTAACGACTGCACGACCGCTCCCCACCTACACGCACAGACACACTTATACACACGCACACGTACACACGCACACCCCTACGCACACCTACACACACGCACACGTACGCACGCGCGCGCACCTACACACACACACACCTACAAAGATCCCCCATATAGCCTTAACAGACTGTAGGGGCAAGTGCTGTGTAGCGAGCACCTATGAAGGCCGGAACGGTACACGAGGGGGTGGATGGCCAGCACCACGCCCGACCGCCTTTGTCTCCCCCATTGGCAATGTTTACACACCGCACCAGGTACTCATTTGAGGCTGAGTCGACCTAGGGGAGGCCCAGGACCGGTTCAGATAATCGTCACTGGTGTTGGCCGTGAGCGGGAATCGAACCCGGGTCGCCAGGTTCATAGCGTAGCGCTAACCGTTACACTACCGCTCCCACGCACACCTACGCACACGCACACACACGCACACCTACATACGCGCACACCTACACGCACGCACATCCAGACGCCCACGCACTTATACACACGCACACCTACACACACACGCACACCCCTACACACGCGCGCACACACACACGCGCACACACACCCGCACACCTACACACACGCACGCCCCTACACACACGCGCACACACACCCGCACACCCACACGCCCGCGCACCTACACACACGCACACCTACACACACACGCACACCCACACGCTCGCGTACTTACACACACGCACACGTGCGCGCACCTGTTCGCGCAAGCGCGGATAAGACGCGCCGAATGCACGGAACGCGCCCAATCATCCGCGCTCACCTGGGCGATTTCTCACGAGATGAAGGAGGTCGAAGGCGCAGCAGCTCTCCCGGTGTGGAGGGCGAGGAGGCTGAGGCGAGTGACAGAGGCGGGGGGGGTCGGTCCGTGTGCTGAGCGCTCGAGGACTCAAGGTCGCTGCGTCAGCTCCCGCCCTGCCCGGCGCGTTTTATGCGAGACGGGCACCACGAGGCCATTGGTTGCGAGAGGGAACGGACCCCCCCCCCCGTCTCCTCCACACCCCCCCCCCCCACAATACCCCCCCACCCAACCGCAAGGTGCCCCCCCCACCATCCATACCACCCACCACCCGCCCAGCCATCCACCCCCCCCATCTCATCCACCCCCTCCCCTCTCATCCACCCCCTCCCCTCTCACCCCCTACCTCCTTCAACCGCCGCCGCCTTGACCACCACCACCAACATTATACAAAAAAGACAAAGATCCCCCGCGTAGCCTTAACGGGCTTTTGGGGACAAGTGCTGTTAGCGAGCAGCGCCTATGAAGGCCGGCACGGCACACGAGGGGGTGGGTGGCCAGCACCAACGCCCGGCCGTTTTTGTCTCCCCAGTGGCGATGTTTTTACGCACCGCACCCGGTACTCGTTTGAGGCTGAATCGACCCAGGGGAGGCCCAGGACCGGTTCAGACAATCGTCACTGGTGCTGGTGTTGGCCGTGAGCGGGAATCGAAGTCGGGTGGCCGGGTTCGTGGCGCAGCGCGCGAACCACTGCGCCACCGCTCCCCCCATCACCACCACCACTCCCTCCCTCCTCCCTATGCGTCTAGAGCGATGTCCAGTTTTCACCGCCTCAGAATTACTGTATCGCCCTCTCTCTCTTTCTCTCCCTCACTTTCACAGCTCTCCTCTCATCTCCCTAATTAATCTCTCTCACGCGATGGCTCGCCCGCTCTCTTTTCCGTCTTTGTCTTCCTCCACGCGCCTCCCACATTCGACGTTTCTCTCCCATCCCTTCCGTCTCTCTCCCAGCTCTCATCTCACTCTCATCATCATCACCATGCATCTATCAATTTCTATCTCCGCCATTCTCTCTCATCGTAATCGTCCATCCATCATTTCTCTCTCTCTCTCTCTTCCATCGCTATCCTCTCGGACGTCTCTCCCAACTCCATGCATCATCCGTCTCTCTCGCTCTCCCATTCTCTCTGTCCCCCACGATCTCTCCCGTTTCTCTCGGAAGGGCTAGTTAAAGAGTAATGGTACATGCCGGTATGGGCGTCGGTATAAAACACCGCTAGGGAGAAAAATCCGGACTGTATCGCATCTTGTACCGACAAAAGAGGAACACTTGTAATCGGAGGGAGAAATGTAATTTAAACACATTTTTTAATGTGATAATTTGTAGCAGAAATATAATTCTGCTACAAATCATCAGCCCATGCGCATCGCTGTATAATTTCACACCGGAACACACTTACTCAGCCTCGTGCAACGTCGAAGAGATGATACAGTCTGCATATATACTGCATGTATTCAAATGTGTTCCGTAAGCTATTCGCTTATGGACGTGAGCGGGCGATGGTCAATGAGAATAACGGAGTGTGGCAGCCAAGGAATGGAACGCGTTCGTAGAGCACCCCCACCGAGGAGATGGAGCGATGGAATCAGGTCGTAGATCGGTGGTATCGCAATGATGGAGAGATGCTAACTCCCTCGCCTGGTATGCAAGAGGTCGTGGGTTCGATCCCTATCCGGACGCCTCCTGCTGCTGTCTTATTTGGGGTTTGCGGCGTCTCTCTCCCCGCGGTCGCGTGGAATCTTTCTCCTGGGTCCTCCGGGTTTTCTCTCCACATTAAGAATCAACGTCACGCGTTCAAGAGGATTTTTGGCTGCTGTACATTCCCATGCGGTGATAAACCACCACTTCGTTGAGCCATCATTCGCGATAGCCAGGTCGCTTCTGAAATAAGAGCCATGTACCTCAGTGGGCCGTTCACCTGGTTAAATAAAATTATAAGTGAAAAGTGAGCCGTGACGGCGGCTCGGGATGGATTGACCATGGGCCAGAGCCGTCCCGAGGGTACACGGCGAATCTGGGGCGACCGCCCTGGGCCCCGTGTTTTGGGGTGTGGGGGCGGGGGCGCTTCGACGTTACGGTGTCGGATGTAGTACTTCGTGTTTAGGTTGAAGGCGTCAGGTGAGTCCACACAGTGGGATTTGTCCCGTCCTCGGCATCGCGCTAATGGACGGCCCTGACGATGGCTGTAGATGATGCTGCTGATGATTATGATGATTGCAATATTTAAATCAATGTAGTTTAAGTAATATGAATATTGGGTTTTTTTGCCGATCAAAGCAGGTGACTGGAGGTTGACCTATGTTCACATCACAACGGGTGACCTTTAAAAAAAGATCTCACAGATCGCCTCGCCCGCAGAGGTCAAACTTGCGTGACCCCTGCCATGCATCACCCTAACTCAATCAAAGCGACTGTCAGCCCACGTAGTAGGGAATCTGTAGACACGTATGTGTGTGTGTACACACACACATATGTGTACACACGTGTGTGTGTGTACATAAACGTGTGTACACACACATACATGTGTAGCGATTACCTCGCTGTTCTACCAACCCGACTAACCGAGTTCGATTCCCTCTCACGGCCACCAACACCGGTGACGATTATTTGAACGGGTCCTGGGCCTCCCCTAGGTCGACTCAGCCTAAAATGAGTACCTAGTGCGGGTGCGTAAAATATCGCCACTTGGGAGACAAAGGCGGCCGGGCGTGGTGCTGGCCACCCTCCCCCTCATGTGCCGTGCCGACCTCTGTAGGAAATGCTCGCTAACAGCACTTGCCTGGACAGTTTGGTAAGGCTCTACGGAGGATCTTCATCTTTGGAGCGGTGGTGCAGTGGTTAGAGCACTGTGCTCCAAACCCAGCTGGTGGTAAATTCATCATCATTAACCAGGTTCAATCCACTGCTGGATCGAGGCCTACCCAAGTTGCTCTCGCCAGCCCCTCGCGAGGCAACAAATCCACCCAGCACCCTGCAACGCGAACTGGTTTTATCGCTCCATCTTTTCGGGGGGCGGAGGGGGGGACGCGTTCCATTCCTTGGCCGCCGCTCCGTTATTATTTTTGAGGATCCCCCAAATAAACGTGGTTCATGACTATAAATGACCGTGTCCCTCTTTGCTGTTTTTGTTATTCTGAATTCCCCCCTGCAATGTCGTGTAACTGCTGCCACTGAGCTGTAGTCGATGAGTCTCTGTATAACTCTATTGATCTCTGTATAACTCTATTGATCTCTATATAACTCTATTGATCTCTGTATAACTTTATTGATCTCTGTATAACTTTATTGATCTCTATATAACTCTATTGATCTCTGTATAACTTTATTGATCTCTGTATAACTTTATTGATCTCTATATAACTCTATTGATCTCTGTAAAACTTTATTGATCTCTGTATAACTTTATTGATATCTGCGTAACTCTATGGATCTCTATGTGACAGTATGGATCTCTATGTCACTCTATGGACCTCTGTATCACTCTATGGATCTCTATGTGACTGTATGGATCTCTATATAACTCTATTGATCTCTGTATAACTTTATTGATCTCTGTATAACTTTATTGATATCTGTATAACTCTATGGATCTCTATGTGACAGTATGGATCTCTATGTCACTCTATGGACCTCTGTATCACTCTATGGATCTCTATGTGACTGTATGGATCTCTATGTGACTCGATTGATCTCTGAATAACTCTATGGATCTCTATGTGACTGTATGGATCTCTATGTGACTCTATGGATCTCTGTATAACTCTATGGATCTCTATGTGACTCTATGGATCTCTATCAATCTCTATTTGACTGTATGGATCTCTGTGTCACTCCAAGGATCTCTGTGTCACTCTATGGATCACAGTTTCACTCTATGGGTCTCTATGTGACTCTATGGATCTCTATGTGACTCCATGGATCTCTGTGTCACTCCACATACCTCTATGTGACTCTACGATCTCTACGTAAATCTGTGACTCTCTAAAAACTCGATGGATCTCTATGTAACTTTACGGATCTCTATGTAACTCTACAGATCTCTATGCATCTCTATAGATCTCTATGGATAACTATATATAACTGCCCTGTAGCTGACACGGTCTTTGACTGTGGTCGGCTGTGGAACCGATCTGCTTAGCTTAATGAGAACGTCACCCGGCGGAGACAATTGCGAGTCCCGAGTCTGGCTCCTCCAATTGGTGAAGTATGGACACGCAACACCCACTACCGCGCTCGGCGTGGACAGGCCCTTCGACCAGCATTGCGAATGACGAATCACATTCTGCTCGAGTATAATTCACCGCCCCCGTGCAATTGTAACAGCACATTGATTGTAATTTAGTTTTCTGCTGATCACTCGCTATTGCCAATGAGAGTAAACCAAACCTGTGAGCCATTTGTTGAAACCCATTTAGACGTTAACAATTTCATTAAAGATAGCCTTTCCACATCGACCATGATCCATTGACTGTTTGATATTATTAAATAACGATTGACCAATTATGACCAGGAATATTCGTAACCTTGATCCTAACCCTGACTCAAACCCTAACATTGATTACACAAACAAACAACGTCTCTCCTCTGCACATTTACAACAATAGCTCGCAGTGCTTCGTCTATCCACCGCTGGATGAAGGCCTCTCTCCACGCCCTTGTCGGTCGTGGAGAGGATGTTTGACCATACTTCACCACGCCGGTCAGTGCGAGATGATGACGGAGGGCGGGGTGGGGGGGGATTGCCAAGGACCGGTTCAGATATCACTCGCCACTGATGTGAGCCGTGGCCTGGAAGCGAACTCAGCGGCCAGGTTCACGCTGCACAGGGATAAAAAGAGAGTTTAATAATGCTGCCGCCGATGATTGATGATAATCGATGACGACTATGATGATAATCGATTAAACCATCTGACGCCTGCATGTTGGAGTTTGCGGCGTCTCTCTCCACGTGGTCGCGTGGAATTCCTCTTCTGAGTTCTCCAGGTTTTTCCCCTCCATATTTTGAAATCAACATCCACGCGTTCAGAATATTTGGCTGCCGCTATAAATGTCCACGTGATGATGATGATAAGCCACTTCGCTGAGCTATCATTTGTGGCCAGGTCGCATCTGATGAAATAG